TTTGAATATGAATTTTTAAAAATCATCCAAGCGCCTAAAAGTTATCTTTGTAAGAGTAAGATTAATGCAGAAGGAAAAATGTTTTTTTGGTGTGATGTGCCAGTGAGCACAGGTCACTGAAAACAATACACAGATTCATCTTCCAAATTTGATTGGAGTTCCATGTTTGGATCACTCATTTGACTAAAGCATTTGACAAAGATTTTACTAAAAGTTTTACAATTTCATTCCCAGTTTGAGCATTTTTTTAAGGTTTAAAATTTTACTTCCTGGTCGGAGATCATTAGTCTGATTCATCAGCCGGTTTCACTTCGTAGAAACAGTCTGACCTCGCAGCATTAGGATTTGTTCGCTCTTTAACCAATCGCTGCTCTTTGGTCCTGTCGTAACGCGCCGCTTCCCAAATCCCGTAGGAAGAAGCAATAACGTCTTTCCCCTTGATAAAATTCACCAAACATTCTCTTTGTTCCGACTTTAAATCCTCGATCTCTGGAATCGTTGACAACACAGAATGTCTGTCTCTTCACTGATTGAACCATGTAGTACACTAGACCAAAACCTCTTCTAATGTGCTCAGATAATATTATTTGACAAATTAAAATATAAGAAAACACCTTTATTTTGTTGAAATCAGGTTTAAAGTATCAGAAAAACACAATAAAAACACCTGTAGATACTGTGGAACATTTCAGACAACGCAGAAACATCTCCATGGAGACAGTTATTTGGCGAACCCTCTACCTGAAAAGTTGCGTATTGCACCTTTAGAGCACAATGTCTAATCCAATGTGTAAATCCTTAACAAAGAGAAAAGCAGGAGTGTTTGTGAGTGTTTTCCAGCCTGTAGGGTAACAGAAGCTGCTGTGACAGATGAAGACGGTGCGTTCACTGTCAGACGCAGAATCGGGGTCTTGCATTCTCACGTTAACCCCTGGGTCTGCGCGGCTAATGAAGCTTTAATACAGATGAGTGTTTATTTCATGGGACCGGCCCTCATCTCGTCTTTTTATTCATACGAGTTAAAAATGCATGTGAAACTCCAAACCCCGCTCGTTTCTCCAGCTCTCGTCATGACCCTGTGTTGTGAATATGATTATTTGATTGCATAACATTAAAAACAAACATAGGCACAGATTTTTATGCCAGGCGGCGAGCATTGGCGAGGGTCCACCCGAGACGCCGGCCAAGATCCTGTCAGTGTATTTAAAGGCAGCGGCGGCGGGCACACGCTCCTGACTTACGGCGCGAGGAGATCCACACAAACACCGGGCTCTATGAATTACTCATGTGAAGGCTTTATTTTTACATGACATAAGGAGAGGAAGGGCGTGATGGAGAAGGAGGAGGAGAGGAACGAGGGAGAAGGAGAGAGGAGTAGAATTAAAGGTGCTTTACCGTAGACTGTTAAAGAAGTGGATTAAGTGAGTATGAGTCCAGTAAATGAAGCTCACTGACGACAGCAGTAATGGGCCCAATTTGAAGCTCTTTCCCGTCCGCACCGCTGGTTTGGCAGGGGGGTGGGCTGTCAATCAAACCTGTTGCTAACGCTATCGGGAGTGACCCCAGCCAAAGAAAGGGTCTGATTTGTCTATTATTAATGATTATATCTTTATTTATGGACAACATCGCAAAATAAAACACTAGGATGGGTTTTCAATAGAAAGTGAACTGGAGCCACAGTCAATGGAGCAGGAAGCACGCCCATGTTCACTTCCTACTTGGACCGTGGCAGCTAGCAGGTTAGCTCTGTCCATCTATGTGCTGTACCTGATTTTTATTGGCTTAAAAACATGAAAAACACAACTGGTTAAGTTGAAACAGTTTGCAGTGTTATTCCTCTAGTTCTTCCTCACTTACTTATTTATTCTCTGAGATGTTTTTCTCAAAGACCAGAATGAAGTCACGGTAACAACAACAAGCATGCTAATGTGCACTTCCTTATTATATGAAAATACAGTGCTGGAGATCGACAGATATGTTTTTTTTTCATGGTCGATGCCGACACTGATAGTTTAGAATCCAGAGGAATTGAGGGCTGATGAGCTCTGCTGATATTTTTGAGCTGATAGGTGAAGCAGATTCAGATTATTTTTCTCACTCGGCTGTAAATCGCCCCATGTTGCAGGTCCTGGTTCAATGGAGCCAAAAGGACAACATCATCTGCAAACAGCAGAGATGATCCTGTGGTCCCCAAACCGGACCCCCTCCAGCCCCTGACTGCACCTAGAAACTCTGTCCATAAACACAATGAACAGAACCGGTGACAAAGGGCAGCCCTGGGGAGTCCAACATGCACCAGGTCTGACTTACTGCCACCAATGAACACAGCTCCTGCTCCGGTCATACAGGGACTGGACAGCCCTTAGCAAATGGCCCCGGAGTCCCAGAGCACCCCCCACAGGACACCACAAGGGACACGGTCGAATGCCTTCTCCAGATCCACAAAGCACATTACATATTTTCATTTGTCAAGTAAAAAAAAAAAAAAAAAAAAAAAGACAAATTAAAATATAAAAAAAAACACCTTTATTTTGTTGAAATCAGATTTAAAGTATCAGTATCATAATACAATAAAAACAAATGTAATTTATTAGATACTGTGGAACTTTTCAGACAAAGCGTAACATCTGCATGGAGACAAATAAGTGGCGAAGCCTCTACCTGAAATTACACAATTTAAATTTACTACAAACTCACCACTAATAAGCGAACTGTGTCGTCACATTTTGCACTGTGTTCTCTTCTGGTTAAAGCTTGCAGCAGATCAACCAGAGCTAAATATCGGCCTGCGTTGGAGATTTAAGGCTGATATCAGATATGTTAAAAAGTCAAAGTATCGGCCTGATATCGGTCTATCTCTATACAGCTCTTTATAATTAGAGTCTGATACAAGAGATTTATATTACTTCAAGAGCTGCTCAGACAATATATATCTATTCTGTGCCACAACACATTTGACTGAAACACATGGGTAAAATGTGGTACAGGGCCTTAAAAGGTCCTACACTGGAACACTTTAAGTACAGAAAAAAACAAAAAACAAAAACTAGTAACTTTAATACTGTTAAAATGAATCAAAAGTGTTTTGAAAAGAGGTTGTGATGTTGATGGGTCCTTAGAAAGTACTACACACAGTTTCAGTCATGTCACCTTGAGAAGGCCCAATCTCATCTGAGTTCTAGGGCTAAATGTTGTTGTGTCCTTAGGCAAGACACTTACACTCACTTCAATCTGTCTGTCACAGGGTATGTGTGGCTATAGAAAACTTCTAAAGAGTCTTTGAAACCCTGTAAAAAATCTTGTATAAGACTTAGATTTATTGGCATTTATGAACATTATAATTCTGTTGTTGTTTTAGATCATAATTAATACAAGTGTGAGCAAGGAAAAAGTACTATCTAACTTAAGTACTGAAAACTGTGTACTGTTTATGTACCTTTACCCAGAAAAATTTAAGTGAGAGGAGAGAAAAAAGGTAAAGAGAAAGAATGAGAATGTAAGAAATTATGAAAGGTGAGCAGAAAAGAAAGAGAGAGGGACAAATGGAATGAGTCAAGAAGAGAGGAGACAGTAGGAGATAAGAGAAGTAAAGAGAGAAGGGAAGGAAACAAGGTGCCAAAGCAGGAGTCCCGTTGTTGTGTTTGTGAGCGTCCCGTGCATCTGGGAGCCTCATGCTTGTAAAAAGAGCATCCCTCAGAGACTTTTATGGAGGGGAATTCTTCAGCCCGGTCACCATGGAAACAGCAGGGACATATTATGGGATTTGACTGCAGCGGTCTTCACGTTAATAAAGACAAGACAGTGTGATTAAGTGGATATAATTTGGGGTTATGGGTTTGAACGGGTCTGAATCACTTACGGGACAAAATAAATGAGAACAAGTGAAACAGAAATAAATACAAGATTTCATAATAGTCTTGTCTACCCATCCATTTTCCTCCCAGCCCTGGATAAAGTCCAGGGCCTCCTCCTGGTGGGACATGCCCAGGACACCTCTCCAGGGAGGCATCCAGGAGGCATCTGGTACAGATGCCCGAGCCACCTCAGCTGACTCCTCTGGATGTGGATGAGCAGTGGCTCTACTCCAAGTTCCTCCCGTGTGCCTGAGCTCCTCACCCTGTCTGTAAGGGAGCACCTAGCCACCCTGTGGAGGAAATTAATTTCAATTGTTTGTGTCCGCGATCTCGTTCTTTTGGTCATGACCCAGAGCTCATAATCATAGGTGAGGGGAGGAACGAGGACTGACAGTAAATCGAGATCTTTGCCTTTCGGCTCAGCGACCACATCACTGCTGATGCTGCACCGAACCACCTGTCAATCTCACACTCCATTATGAACAAGACCACGAGATACTTGAACTCCTCCAATTGAGGCAGAGCCTCCCCAACCACCCAGAGAGAGCAAGACACCTTTTTTCTGTCAAGAACTATGGCCTCGGATTTGGAGGAGCTGATCCTCATCCCAGCCGCTTCACACTCGGACATCGTAAGGTTCCACCTTATGATGTCCATTTTGAGCTTTGGAGATGTAGCCAGACTAATTGTGTGTGTGTTCCTGCTCCTCTGAGAGGCGGTGGGAGTCATGTGAGCATGTGAGCGTGGTGTGTGTGTGTGTGTGTGTGTGTGTGCTCCATTGCTCTGTTTGTGGTTTTACATTATCAGTACAGTTCATCTTCACAATATTCCTGCTCTCTGTGTTCACATTCAGACGTTGCTGCTGTGATGTCAGTTATGCCCCTTCATTAAACCATCGCAGAACACATACACGTATCCAGGCTGTTTGTTTTACATCACAAACAGCGCTCGTATAACCACTATACTGATAATACAGGATTACTCAAACATGTGAATGAAACTAAACACAACTGCAGGTGTGTTTTTGATGAGGGAACAACATTAGAACACGACTTAAAGTTCACAAGAGTTGGTTTTGTGTGATATAAGACCCTTAAATAAACTTGTATTGTTTATCAAGTTGTATTATTTTGTGTTTTTTCGCAGTTACCTCCCCTGGTTTGAGATTTTCTACAAGCTGCTGAACACACTGGCGGACTACCTTACGAAACAACAGGTACCAGAACTCTTTTCATCCACTTTTACCAGAACTTTCCTTCAGTTTCAAGTGCTCGCATTCAAAAATAAGACGTGTTTTAGAGTGAGAAACAAGCTGTGCATTTACTGTTTTTGAACGCCAGCTCTGGTTCCACATTTCCACATCTCTTCTTCTTTTTCTTCTTCTTCTCCTTCTCTTCTTCTTCTCCTCCTCTTCTCGTCTTCTCCTCGTCTTGTGCTCAAACCGCAGTCTGTCGTTCCTGTTCTCCGGCGCTGCGTCTGGGCTTCTCTCGCTCCGGATCTCGTTGTTAGCGAGAACAATGTTGACATTTCACACACCAAAGGCTGACGACGCCTCAGCCTCCTCCTGATGATTTACTGGAAAACAAATCGTTAAAAAATGGAAAAGCGCACGCACACACACAGATACAGATACACACACACACACACATGCAGAGACACACACAGATAAACACACACAGATACAGATACACACACACACACACACACATGCAGAGACACACACAGATAAACACACACAGATACACACACACACACACACACGCACACACGCATGCAGAGACACACACAGATAAACACACACAGATACAGATACACACACACACACACGCACACACACATGCAGAGACACACACAGGTAAACACACACAGATACAGATACACACACACACACGCACACACGCATGCAGAGACACACACAGATACACGCAAACACAGATACACACACACACGCAAACACACCCCCACATGCACACACACACACAAAGATACACACACACATGCAGAGACACACGCACACAGATAAACACACACACACGCAAACACACATACAGATAAACACACACAGACACACACATCCCTACACACACAGATACACACACACGCATGCACACACACACATGCAGAGACATACACAAGCAGACACACACACAGACAGATACACACGCAAACACAGATACACACATGCAGACACACACAGATAAACACACACACACACATACAGATAAACACACACAGACACACACACAGATACACACACACACACACATGCAGAGACACACACACAGATAAACACATGCACACACAGATACCACAGACCTCGATACACACATGCAGAGATACATACACACACATACACACACAAATACACACAGATGCACACACAGATACAGACACACGCACAGATACACAGACACACACTCAGATAAACATAAACACAATACTCACACATGCACACACACACAGATACACATAGATAAACTCACACAGAGACACATACGCACACACATGCACACAGACACACACACACAGATACACATAGATAAACACACACATACACACAGAGACATATACGCGCGCACATACACACAGACACACACACACAGATACACATAGATAAACACGCACATGCACACAGACACACACACAGATATACAGCTACACACACACACGTACACACACACACATACAGACACAGAGGGACACGTACACACACACACACACACACACAGATATACAGATACAAACACACACACACACAAATACATACACACAGACACACACGCACACACACAGATACACACATACAGACGCACACACACAGATAGACAAATATAGCTCACAATAAAGACACAAGGACACAGAGCCACACAAAGGAGACAGACAAATGTCACTTAAAGCTGCATTGTGTAACTTTTCTAGTGGAGGGTTTCTCTCTACCCCTCTCTCTTTCTCTCTTTTCAGTTGGTTTTGTGTGTGTCTCTTGGAGAGTCCTCTGCTCTGCACAAACACCCTGTAGATTCACATGTAACTTTTATTAAACTAAACTGAATAGCGTTTGTGTTTCTGTGTTTGTTGTGCGTCAGGAGAATGACTTGAATGACCTGCTGAAGTCTCTGTACGAGCTGCCGGTGCCAAAACCCTACACCCCCGTCAACCTGAGCGTGGTGCGTATGCAGTACTTTTCACACTATCACACAGTGTGGACACAGCAGACACATGTTGTTCCAGTATCGGTTTTGACTAACAGCTGACTATTTACTGGATCTGGTGTCAGTCCTGTGATATGAGTCCAGACTATTTCCTGAATGGGCCTTTTTGTTCAGTAGTTATTTGCAAGATAAAGAAGAATTACACCCCACAGTTAGGTCAGTTTTGTTAAAAGTTATTGGTATATTTAGGGGAAAAAATAAAGTTGTGTCTCTGGTAAGCTGTTGGTGAGTATGGATATCGGTATTGGAGCTGAAAACACTGGACTAGCTGAAGTTTTCTCATGTAGTTTCTTCTTTGGGAACAGGAAACTTATTAATGTGATACAGTTGACAAATGTGAATGCCTCTTTGTTTTTTCCTCTGTGTGAAGGAGCAGCGACTCTATTCTGAGCTCTGATTTAAGGGGTGTTCACACCAAAGCGTCAAAAAACGCCTTGACACCTCTATTTGGACGCCTTTGCCTTTGAATTTAGACGCCCCCGACGCGCGTCTTTTACGCCGTGGACGAACGTAGAAAAATACTTGACGCGCGTCCGTTGCCCTGGAAACAAGAGCCTGGTCCCGGACTTTTCCTAAAACAATGTCAGACCAGATTGAGAGAGACTTTAGTGTTTTTATGACATAAAACAGGAGATCGGGTCGATGACTGGGGCGTATATATATATTTATACTCCGCTAATGACACTGGATCAGTTCTGGTTTAGTCCTGGTCTAATCCTGGTCTAGTCCTGGTCTAGTCTCGGTCTAGTCCTTGTTTAGTCCCAGTCTAGTCCTGGTTTAGTCCTGGTCCGGTTCTGGTGTAGTCCTCGCTCGGTGATTGTGGTGTATACATTTATGCTCCGCTCATGTTTGTGGTTCTGGTTCTGAGGTTTTTCTTCCTGATAATTATGTCGCTGCATCACTGGATACTCGTCCCTAATTGGTTGATGCTGCACGTCTGATGCGAAAAATTAATCATTTTCAACTTCTTGACGCTGACGCCTTGGACGCGTGTCTCGTGTGTTGACTCCAAAACGCTCAAGATGCACCGCTTCGATGCCAGATTTGCACCGCGCTGATGCCCGAAGACGCGCATGTCCACATAGACTTTACATAGAAACTCGACGCTTTGACGCTCTGATCTGAACACCCCTTTAGAATGACCTAACCCGGTAGTTTACATCTGTACAAACATGCTCTGAAATGTGATTCTTGTATTAGTTTGTCAGTTCAGATTTCAGTGTTTTTGTCAGTTCTTCTGGATGCGTTTAAAATGTGAACTTTGAACAGAATCCCGGTATTAAAGCTGCATTGCATAAATTTTCTGGTGGCTTTTGTCCATGGAGATGTCATTGCTTGTCTGGAATGTTTCACAGTATGGCATTAAACCTTTTTTTTATCTCCACAAAGACCAAACCAGACCAAGTTACAGCTCAGATCTGTGGAAAGGCAACCCCACTCACAGTCAGAATGTCTGTTTTTCTAGGGATTTTTGTAAATGAATAAATGTAATCTAGAGCTGTTTAATGTCATACTATGGAACATTCCAGGCAGAGCGATGGCGTCTCCATAGAAACAGGCTGTACCACACGTCTGGAGCAGAGGCTGGTTGAGATAACACCAGTGCAGATGTGGAGAAGATGAGAAAAGGGTTGGTTTGTGACAGTGTTTGGAAGCACTGTGCTGTAGAAAGTTGGAGCTGAGTCGAGTGGAGATAAGCTGAAGTCAGAGTCAGGTTTAAACCTCAGCTCCAGGTCTGTGGGTTTATCAAAGTCCCACTCTGTTTGGGCTCCACTGACACTATCTCACCCCCCAGGGAAATACCCCCACGACACAACCACGACGCAACCACGACACACCACGCGACACACCCACGACACACCCACGACGCAACCGCGACACACCCGCGACGCAACACGCGACGCACCAGCGACGACACAACCACGCGACGACACAACCACGACACAACACGACACACACCACGACGACACAACCACGACGCACGACACAAACGACGACACAACCACGACACACACACCACGACACACCCACGACACACACGACACACCCACGACACAACCACGACACAACCACGACACAACCACGACACAACCACGACGACAACCACGACACAACACGACACAACCACGACACACACACACGACACAACACGACACAACCACGACACACACACCACGACACACCCACACGACACAACCACGACACAACACACACGACACAACCACGACACACCCACGACACACCACGACACACACACACGACGACAACCACGACACAACCACGACACACACGACACACACGACACACCACGACACAACCACGACACACCACGACACACACACACGACACAACCACGACACACACCACACACGACACCACGACACACCCACGACACACCCACGACACACACCACGACACACACCACGACACAACCACGACACAACACACACCACGACACAACCACGACCACGACACAACCACGACACAACCACGACACAACCACGACACACCACAACACGAACACGACGACGCAACACACGACGCAACCACGACGCACGACCAACACGACGACACCCACGACACAACACGAACACGACACAACCACGACACAACACGACACAACACGACACAACCACGACACACACGACACCACGACACAACCACGACACAACACGACACAACCACGACACAACACGACAGGGGTTCACTGACTTTAGTCTTCTGAGACTGAGGAGAAACATGTAAAGAAAACATTTAAAGGGTCACATTATGAAGAAAAAAAAACAAAAAAACATCTTGGTCAGTTTGTTTTTCCATTTATTATTATTTATTTTGTGTGGTAGCATGAACTGTGTGAGAGACGGACAAAGAGAAGTTATTACTATGTGTAACCATTTAAAGCCACAATATGTAACTTTCCAGAGATGAAACATCACCTCTCTCTACATCTACTCTCTCTCCCTCTCTACTTCTCTTCTCTCTACATCTCTCTCTCTCTCTCTCTCTATCTACTCTCTCTCTCTCTCTCTCTCTCTCTACATCTCTCTCTCTCTACATCTCTCTCTCTCTCTCTCTCTCTCTCTCTCTCTCTCTACATCTCTCTCTCTCTACTATCTCTCTCTCTCTGATCTCTCTCTCTCTCTCTCTCTCTAGCATCTCTCTCTCTCTCTCTCTACATCTCTCTCTCTCTCTCTCTCTCTCTCTACATCTCTCTCTCTCTCTACATCTCTCTCTCTCTCTCTCTCTCTCTCTCTCTCTCTACATCTCTCTCTCTCTCTACACTCTCTCTCTCTACATCTCTCTCTCTCTCTCTCTCTACATCTCTCTCTCTCTCTCTCTCTCTCTACATCTCTCTCTCTCTCTCTCTCTCTCTCTACACATCTCTCTCTCTACACTCTCTCTCTCTCTCTCTCTCTCTCTCTCTCTCTCTCTCTCTCTCTCTCTCTCTCTCTCTCTCTCTCTCTCTCTCTCTCTCTCTCTCTCTACATCTCTCTCTCTCTCTCTCTCTCTCTCTCTCTCTCTCTCTACATCTCTCTCTCTCTCTCTCTCTCTCTCTCTACACCTCTCTCTCTCTCTCTCTCTCTCTCTACACTTTCTCTCTCTCTCTCTCTCTCTCTCTCTCTCTCTCTCTCTCTCTCTCTCTCTCTCTCTCTCTCTCTACATCTCTCTCTCTCTCTCTCTCTCTCTCTCTCTCTCTCTACATCTCTCTCTCTCTCTCTCTCTCTACATCTCTCTCTCTCTCTCTCTCCCTACATCTCTCTCTCTCTCTCTCTACACATCTCTCTCTCTCTCTCTCTCTCTACATCTCTCTCTCTCTCTCTACACTCTCTCTCTCTCTCTCTCTCTACACTCTCTCTCTCTCTCTACATCTCTCTCTCTCTCTCTCTCTCTCTCTCTCTCTCTCTCTCTACACTCTCTCTCTCTCTCTCTCTCTCTCTCTACATCTCTCTCTCTCTCTCTCTCTCTACATTCTCTCTCTCTCTACATCTCTCTCTCTCTCTCTCTACATCTCTCTCTCTCTCTACATCTCTCTCTCTCTCTCTCTCTCTCTCTCTCTACATCTCTCTCTCTACATCTCTCTCTCTACATCTCTCTCTCTCTCTCTACATCTCTCTCTCTCTCTCTCTCTCTCTCTCTCTCTCTACATCTCTCTCTCTCTCTCTCTCTCTACACATCTCTCTCTCTCTCTCTCTCTACATCTCTCTCTCTCTCTCTCTCTCTCTCTCTCTCTCTCTCTCTCTCTCTCTCTCTCTACATCTCTCTCTCTCTCTCTACTCTCTCTCTCTCTCTCTTCTCTCTACATCTCTCTCTCTCTCTCTCTCTCTCTCTCTCTCTCTCTACATCTCTTTCTCTACCTCTACCTCTCTCTCTCTCTCTACCTCTCCCTACTCTCTCTCTAATGTCTCTTTCTTTCTCTCTCTCTCTCTACTTCTACCTCTCTCCCTCTCTCTCACTCTCTACATCTCTCTCCCTCTCTCTCTCTCTCTCTCTCTCTCTCTCTCTCTCTCTCTCACTCATTCCTTCTCTCTCTCTCTGTTTGATTCCATGGAAACAGAAAGTTAAAGCCACACTTTGGAACATTCTCCGTGGAGACAGGTGTGTTTTATTGTTTTTTGTCATACTGTGGAAGATTTTAGCCAAAGGAACATTTCCATGGAAACAAGGAGGAGCAGGCCCTCGTCCAGGCTGAGTGAGAGTCAGGTCTGTGGAGATGCGAGCCCACTCACAGTTTTCAGGCAAGAAACATCAGAATGAAAAAACATGCTTTTATTTGAGTCTCATTTGTGGGTTATGTGGATAATAATTTGAATGTTATTGACATAAATCATGAGTATAATGTCTCGCTGATCTTATATGAATCGAATGGTTCAGTGAGTTTTTGCACTTTTTAATTGAGTGTCTGTAGTTTCACGTTTCTGGTGCTACTGATGCGTGCAGCCTTTTCTATTGTTTACGACGCTGAAAGTTTCACTATGAGACTGAGGCAGCATCAGCTCTTATCATTTTTCCACACATTTCTATCGAGCTGAATGCAATTTTTTTATTGCAAATTTTGAAGAACGATTATGAATGGTTTCGAAATGATAAAACGTCTCTAAATTTAAAGGTGCACTGTGTGACTTTTCTGGTGCTGAAACCGTCAAATGCTCTTCTCCATGGACATGTTCTTGCTTTATCTTAAAACTTCAACCTTTCTATCTCCATGGAGACCAAACCAGGTGAAGTTACAGGTCAGATCTGTGGAGAGACAATCCCACCGCTCACAGTCAGAATGTTTGTTTTTTTGAGGAAATAAAACCACCTGTAATTGAATAAATGTAAAGAAGAGCTGTTTAATGTCATGCTGTGGAATATTCCAGGCAGAGCAATGACATCTCCATGGATACAAGCAGGTGATGGAATCCCCAACCAAAAAGTTACACAGGGCACCTTTAATTTAGTTGATTTTGCATTTTAATACTCTAGTATGTCACTTTTTACACATAAATGAGACAAAAATAAAAGCATTCTGATGTTTCTTGCACTGAAAACTGTGAGTGGACTCGCATCTCCACAGACCTGACTCTCATTCAGTCTGGACGAGGGCCTGCTTCTGCTTGTTTCATTTGGCTAAAATCTTCCACAGTATGACATAAAACGTCTGTCTCCATGGAGAATGTTCCAAAGTGTGGTTTTAACTTTCTGTTTCCATGGAATCAAACTTGTGACCTTCCATCTCCAGAAAGTTACATAATGAGGCTTTAAATTATCACACACATAGTTTAACTAAATAATCTCTTTCGTACAATTCATGCAACAATAGAATTTCATTTCATTTAACAAAAAAATAAATCAATGCAAAAGCAAATTGACAAAGACGTTTTTCTTTTTTTCACAATCTGACCCTTTTGGTGTTTTCTTGGCATGTTTATTCTGTTCCGTCTTCATAATACACCATAAATACATCTGTAAATGAATGCTCCCGGTGCATTTAAAATCATTAAACAATTCTCAGATCAGGCTTTTCACCAAGAATATGAAATTGAAATAACCTTTTTGTGCCTGTGTGTTAAACGGGAGTCGGTGTCAGGATGTGGGAGGAGCCCTCTTAAGGCCAAAATGAGAGAAAAACTACTCCCGATTATTCAAACATGTATGTGGAGGGATCGCTGTGGGAGGAACGCAGACGAAAATACTCCGTCAGGGTATAGAATTCATGTTAAAGGCCTATTTATATGTTTACATTGTGTTTTATTATTGGCCGCAAACCAATGGTAAGTGGAAGTGCGCTTTGTGTTGGAGAATTTTCTAGTTCAGAGGTGGTTGCTTCATCTTTTACAGTTTTGATTTTTAATTGAAAATAATGAATTCATGCTTTAAAATACATACATTTGGTACTAGATCTTTAAGATGAATCGCTGCTGTTTTTGTAATTCCATCATTTCTTCCATAAACATTAAATTCTGTCTGATTCTGCATAAAAACTGCTTATCCTGTAGTTTAAATCTAAAAAAAGAATTCTGAAATGTGATTATTGTATTATTTTGTCAGTTCAGATTTCATTTTTTTTGTCATTTCTTCTGAACGTGTTTAAAATGTGAACTTTAAATAGAATTCTATAGTTAAAGGTCCTAGATTGACTCTAAGGAGCTTTAAAGGTACACTGTGTAACTTTACTGATTTGGGGTCCATCACCTGCTTGTTTCTATGGAGATGCTCTGCCAGGAATGTTCCACAGTATGACATTAAACAGCTCTGCCTTACATTTATAGGCGAGTTTCATTGTTGACAAAAGCGTGCGTTGCATGCTGGGAATTATTTTGGTCGACGGCAAGAAACACTGATTCAACGGAGTGAGAAAGCACGTAAAGGGTATTGATCCTGGTTATTTATCCACTCTAACAGCAGAGGACCCAAGACCATTTGACCAGAAATTGGTCATAAGCATCGATGGACGACAAATCACCCTTTTCAACCCCGACAAAAGGTGAACCAAACCAAATTTCTGGTCAGAATCACCAACTACCTGGACAAATATTCACTTGGTGATATCCACAATGACTTGGTGGAAACTCCTGGGTCATTCACAGCAGAAAAGATGAAAACCTCCAAGAGTCTCGATGTGTTGTTGAACTTGTTGGAGTCCACGGTTTGTTAGGATCTTCTACGTTTGCTCTGCGGATGTTTGAAAGACGTTTAATTCACCATTAGCGGTTCTTTTCACTCAGAATACGAAAAAGACATTTTCCTTCTTCCGTGCTTCTATTTGTGCATCCGATAATGCAGCAGGAATTTACCATGATCGGAGATAAATACGTGAGGTTACACACTGTGTTTAACCACTATCCTGTTTGGGCTTTTAATAACAATGACGTCAGCTGAAACTCGCCTGTTCAGTGACAGCTGATTTCATAACTCAAAAATACCTAGAAAAACAGACATTCTGATAGACATTCCGGGGTCGCCTCTCCACAGATCTGACCTGTAACTTGGTCTTGTTTGGTCTCCATGAAGATAGAAAAGTTTAATGCCATACTGTGGAACATTCCAGACAAAGTAATAACATCTCCATGAAGAAAAAGCATTTGATGAACCTTCCATCAGAAAATTTACACAATGCATCATTAAGTCCTGTTATTTATGTTGTTTCCTCCTCAAAAACAAACCTGGAGCTCTCTTACACCTTGTGATGTCATGCAGTGGTATAATTAGTATCTCCTTTTCCCTTTAGTTCAGTAGAGATTGGTAAATCCAGACCTGAAATTTCCCAAAGGATTCTAGTGAAGGTCAAGTCAGTGGGTTGAGCTCAGTGGCACATGTGCAGTAGCCCACGGATGAAGCGCCGTCACGTGTATCATGTAAGCGCTTTGACCAGTCAGAACGAGTGGAGCCGAGAGGAGCCGAGAGGAGCCGAGAGGAGCCGAGAGGAGCCAAGAGGAGCTGAGAGGAGCCGAGAGGAGCCGAGAGGAGCTGAGTAGAGCTGAGAGGAGCTGAGAGGAGCCGAGAGGAGCGAGAGGAGCCGAGAGGAGCCGAGAGGAGCCGAGAGGAGCCGAGGAGAGCCGAGAGAGCGAGAGCGAGAGGAGCGAGAGGACCGAGAGAGCCGAGAGGAGCCGAGAGGAGCCGAGAGAAACCGAGAGGAACAGAGCGGAACCTAGAGGCGCAGAGAGGAGCAGAGCGGAGCCGAGAGGAGCCGAGAGGAGCCGAGAGGAGCTGAGTAGTGCTGAGAGGAGCTGAGAGGAGTCGAGAGGAGCAGAGAGGAGCTGAGTAGTGCTGAGAGGAGCTGAGAGGAGTCGAGAGGAGCAGAGAGGAACAGAGAGGAACAGAGCGGAGCCGAGAGGAGCCGAGAGGAGCCGAGAGGAGCCGAGAGGAGCCGAGAGGAGCCGAGAGGAGCCGGAGCGAATGATTATAAAGCATTTTTTTAAGACAACTGAAAAATTTTGATATAAAAAAGGTAAAAATTGCCACAAAATCCAACATTTTTGAAAGTTGGTGGTCCCTGTCAGCCGAACATGAGCAGTTTGTGATTACATTTCCTCTGTGAGAAAAATCCTCTCTCAGCCCAGGGGATTTTTGTCACTACATCAACTGGAGACAGATACAAGCAGCAACACCCTGCACTTATTTTAATAGATCCATGATTTAAAAACACAGCGGAGCACTTCCTGTATTACCACATGACATCACAAGGTTTTTTTTCTGTTTGAGAGAAGAGCTCAGCCTAAATGTGCAGGTTTGTGTGTTAAACAAAACACAACTCCAGGTCTGTGTGTGATGAGTAAACTCCATTAGAACATCCCAAATTTCGATATTTTACAAACACTTCTACCATATTTCAGACTTTTCTGGGTGAGAGAGAATAATTGTTGTGTTTTTTATGTACACAAACTGTTTTATTGTGTGATTGTGTAGAATGAGGAGCTGTGTATAGCCACTGGGCACGTTCTCCAGCCTGGACCTCGCCCGGCCTCCGTGAGTTCACCTGAAGATCTCCATTATCTACTAACAGCATGAGACTAACCCCACCTCCACAGTCCGGGCTCATCAATCTACTTTCTGTCTTTCGTTTTGGAATTTTTTAACATTTAACCAAAAACAGACATCTTAAAGGAACTGTATGTACTTGCTGTCTTACTCTTTTAAAGGTGCACTGTGGGACTTTTGGTAGAGGGTTCATCACCTGCTTGACTCCTGCTTGACGTTATTGTTTTGTTCCTAGAATGTTCCACAGTTTGACAAGCAGGCCACATCACAGGTCAAGTTACAGGTCAGATCTGTGGACCCTGTAAAACACCTGTAAATAAATGAATATATATGTTTTTAATGCCGTACTGTGGAACATCCCAGACAAAGCAATGATATCACCATGGAGATAAGCAGGTGGCGGACCCTCCACCAGAAAAGTTACACATCTTAAAAAAAAAAAAAAAAAAAAAAAAAAAAGTACAGTCACAACTGAATCTGTGTCCCCAGAACTTTTACAGTTTTGATTTTTAATAGAAAATAGAAAATGAATACTTTAAAATACATATATTTTGTGCAATGTTGCAGTCAAAATTAAAATTTGAATGGATAAAATTTGCAAATCACTTCTGTTTTTGAAGCACCAGCATTTTTCTCATTCTGCGTTAAATTAAATAAAAAAACACAAAAACAAAAAAAACTGCTGCTAACTGTAGTGTAGATCTGCACAAACATGTTCTGAAATGTGATTCTTCTAATAGTTTCTTGCTTTAGATTAAAACAATTTTGTCATTTTTTCTGGACATGTTTAAAATTTGAACTTTAAATCGTTCAAATGGCCGATTTTTACCAGAAAAATTACAATCCCATCTGACCCTGTGTCTCCAGAGTCTTCACCTGCAGACAGAGACACGTCCTGCATTTGTCTCATTCTCAGTTTATGTTCATGTCTCATGTGAAGCTCACAACCTCCAGAATTCTCTCCCTGAGCTGCAGAGGCTGCACTAGCACTGACTCATGACTGGAGCAGGTGCTGGGGTTTAGAGAGAGACTGTTAAGATCAGAGAGACATTTTATATTTAAACCAACTGTTTTTCAGCAGTGAACCAGCAACACAAATGAGAGACTCAAGTGAGGCTCATTCTGTTTTCTGATTGGAGAATCATCCAAAACATCAAATTATGACATAAACAACTTGTCCATCATGTCCATTTTTTCTGTAATGAAGAATAAATCATTACAGTTGTTATCAGTGAATCTTACATTAGATTTGAACATGTTTATAGATAAGTCATGTTTAGGATATTTCATACAGTTCCTTTAAGACCTGGTGGTGGTGGAGGTGATGATGTTGTTGGAGGTGATGTTAGTGTTGGTGTTGGTGGTTGGATCTTCACTGAAAACTTGAACCTTTTTGCAATTTAACATTATGCAATTTAATATTTTTAGCTTTTTTTTTTTTCTTTTTTTTAAACTCAAGATTGTAATTTGAAATGTAAACACAAAGGCTGCAATCATCATATATTATGTCAGGCATGTCCAAACTATGGCCCGTGGGCCAAATGCGGCCCTCAGACAAATTTTTCTTGGCCCTCAGGCTTCTAAGTGAATTGGCCCAAATTACCATGCATCAATTAAAAATGTACTTTTTACTGCAAGTTTTTTGAAAGTCAACTTGATAAAACTCATATTTAATATTTAGTGTGTGGTTGTAATGATCTTAGCATGAGTAAAGACTGATGGCTCATTCTAACGTGTTAAACCTGCACTTATTTTAATTATTCACTGTATTGAGCATCAGTCTACGGCCCTCGATCGGCCCTCTGCTTCATCTGTGTTTAGAAATATGGCCCTTGATGAAAAAAGTCGACTATTATAACAAAAAACAAAAAGTGTTAGATCTAAATGTCAAAAAGAACACAACATTTCAGATTTTAATCAATAATAGACTTTATTTGTAAATATTTTCTGTAGAAGCCTTTTGTCTCCATATGCTTTATTTTGTTGATTTTGTGAGCCATGTTAGAATGACGTTACCTCTTCAAAAACATCTCCAAACTCAAAATGCTGTTCCACCTTGTGATGTCATAAATTGGTAGTTTTCAACCGTTTTGAACAGCTCCTTTTACTTTTAGTTCAATAGAGACTGACAATTCCAGAGGTGAAAAAAATCACACGGATGATTCTAGTGAAGGTGTAGGTAACACTTTATAATCACTACACCTTACTTAGCCTTAATAAAGCATGAACAAAGACTTAATTAATAATGAACAAAGATTTAATTAATAATGATTCACGCTTAGTAAATGCTTAATAAAACATAATTAGTCTTCACTTTAGAAAAGCTCTCAAAAAGACTTAACTAACAGATAACAGTTGCCTGAATGATCATTGTATTATTAGTAAATCATTCTCTCATAGTTTACTAATGATTAATAAATGCTCAAATGGTTAGTTCATGAGTAATTAAGTAATGAAATAATTATGAGTAACTATTTACAGCACAAGCAAATTAAGTGCAAGTGCTGATTAAGGTAGTAATTAAGTAGTTACTAAGTGTGAATCATTATTTAATTAAGTCTTTGTTCATTATTAATTAAGTCTTTGTTCATGCTTTATTAAGGCTAAATAATGTGTAGTTATTATAAAGTGTTACCGGTGTATGGAGTTTAAAAACACAGTGGAGCACTTCCTGTATCAACACATGACATCACAAAGTGTAACAGAGTGTTTTCCGTTTGAGAGAAGAACTCAGCCTAAATCTACAGGGTTTGTGTGTTAAAGGTGCACTGTGTAACTTTTCTAGTGAAGGGTCCATCACCTGCTCGTTTCTATGGAGATGTCATTGCTCTGCCTGGAATGTTCCACAGTGTGACATTAAACAGCTCTACCTTAAAATCACAGATCTGACCTGTAACTTGGTCTGGTTTGGTCTCCACGAAGATAGAAAGATTTAATGCCATACTGTGAAACATTCCAGAGAAAGAAATAACATCTCCATCTCCGAGCATTTGATGGACTCTCAACCAGAAAAGTTACACAATGCACCTTTAAACATGAGTGAATGAAACAAACACAACTGCAGGTCTGTTTGTGATGGGAAAACTACATTAGAACATCAGAAAATAGTGTAATTTAGCACTTTAAAACATAAAATGCAATTCTAAAACCTTTATTTTGTTTGTCAACGAATCAAAAAATTAATCTCCTCGTCAATTACTAAAATAATCCCTAAAGTTACAACCCAAGAACTCGATCTCCATGGAGACAAGCTGCTTTCCTTTCACTTTTTCCGTATATTTTTAAACAAAAACAAACCGTCTTAAAGCCCGGTGTTGGCGGTTGTTGCGTCTTCTCTGGAAAACAGTCAAACTTTGTGAATGATTAATGTCTCCCCGCTCTTTGTGAATAAGAAAACGAGTCTTTCTAAACGTCTGAACTCACGCAGTCTGCTTGATGCGCAGCCACTTAACCCAGATTCACACGCACTTTTACAAACACCACTCCCAAAGAAAGAGAGAGAAAAGAGAGAAAAACAGAGTGAGAAAGCAGAGAGGAGAGGAGCACAGTACAGACGCATTAAGACCAATGGGGACGTGTTATTTACAAAGCACGAGATGTGAGCGGTACATGTGTTAGAGTAAAGGTACAGAGATGATACGGCCTTGTGTTGGATTATAATGTTTTATAAATGATTCCTGTTCATTTACTTTGGTTTTGGTTGTTGGTGTGTTGTTTTTAACTGGAAACTGCAGCAGGTTTACTGAAGTTACACAGATGAACAAAGAAATCATCATCATAATAATAATAATAAGGCCTCACATGTGTATGGGTTTTACAAGTTTGAAAGAAAAGTGAAGAAAAGTGTAAAAAGGGGCAGAGCAGAGGAAAGTCTGATTTCAGATGTAACACAGCTCATTTTTACGATGATTTACAAATCCAATCATTCAGGCTTCGTTCAGACTGCAGCTTGAAGTGACCCAAATCTGATTTTTTGGCCTCTATGTTCCTGTATCTGATCTTTTAATGACAGTCTGAACCACACAGATCCAATTTTTTCAAATGTGACCCAGGACACTCTATATGTGCTCCTAGAACTGATACATATCTGATCTTTTGACATGTGACTTCAGTCTGAAAGTGTGTCAAAGTGCATTCATCCACCTACACGTTATCAACAAGACACAAACGTCACTATTCTGCACTGAAGTAGGCGAACATTGTTAATGAACTCCATGTCACTGAAGTGAAGCACATCACCACTCACCACTCTTGGCTCCGTCTCCACATCCACATGTTCCTTTCAATGGACGTTGCTGCCGCTGTCCCACAAAACACCAAACACCAAAAACCATCGTCCTTCTCCTTCTCAATCTCCTCCTTAAAACAAGTAAGTTGTTCATGTTCTGGCTCCGGTACGAGAGGAACTTTAAAATCTCCAGGTGCTCGATGCTGCGTCCATGTTTGGACAACTTCTGTAAACACAGAGACGCTCGCTGCGGTTGACGTCGTCGTGTCTCCAGTGTCACATGTGGGACACTTTTGGGCCGTTTAATGTTCACACTGGAGTCACATACAAGTCACATTTAATTGGAAATGTGAACGACCTCGTAAAAACATCGGATTTCACAAAAAAATCCAAATTGAGCGTTAAGCCCTGCAGTCTGAACGTAGCCTTAGTTTCTCAGTCTGATGAGTTTAATTTGGTCTTCCAATAATTTATGTTATTAAGTTCTTTTTTCAGACCAAGAGTTTGTTTTCATGCCTGACAGTTTGGACTGCTCACTAGCGTCTTCCTCAGAGTGCTCTCATGATGTTGCTGTGACGTGTCTGGTCAGCTGATTTAAACAGGTTTTGGAGCTGTCTTTCCACCGGAGGAGGCAGGACGACAGCTCCACCTGCAGTCCCACTTCCTCAGGACAGTATCCCAGGTGTGTGTGAGAGTAAAAAAACCCTCGTCCCGTCACAACAACATCACGTGACATCACTCTGAGGAAGAGCGCTAGTGA